TTTGGCTGAGTGCCCATAGCTAATCACTAGAGATTTCACAGTGAAGTCTTTCAGAGTGTCGATTTGATTAATGGTTCATGTTTTGCAGATCTGAGGGGTTTTATTTTATTCTTAAATTTATTACATGTCACTTATATGAGTTAAATATGTTTTAATTCCATCTTAAATACAGTGGAACAATCTTTGCAGTGAAGTTAGCTTTTTTTTTTTACGCAGCAGCATGTTTGCAGAGGCTCGCACTTGGATGTGCAGCTGCTTAGTTAGGATTCTTCGCAGTCCTGTTGCGTGCGCTTCCCCAGAACTCCTGTAAAAGTAAGAAACCAAGGAGCTCTGAAATGCCATCGAACTCAACCTCAGTGCGCTGTGCCTCAAGGTTATGGGGGATAACTGTGCTGCTTTCACAGGAGAGAGGTTTGATATGTCAGGCTGTTGCAAAAGCATGAGCAGGGAGGCTGGGTGGGAATGGGAATGCAGGTTTGGGTCCACTGGGATGTGGAGATCAAGTGGCGCAAGGCAGAGAGTGAGCTAATCGGCTGTGTCACCTCCCGGACCTTGGTCTGGTAGGGTAAGTGGTTTGGGCTCAGAGGTGAGCACACACCTGTGGCAGAGAGGGGTACAATCCAGGAGTCCTTTCTGCAGCATTTGCTGCTGTCCCTGCTGCCAGGCCGTTGGCAGCGTCACAAGCACGTCACAGGAGGGCCACTTTGGGCTTTGCCCCAGTCTGGTCCTTGAGCACAGGAGGTGCATATGGAGCCCTTTTTTATCAGCTCTTCCCCCACCCTGCTGGCTGGGACTAATGGGAAGCTGGGCAAAGGAAGCTCCTGATGGAGGACTGTGCTGTTCTGTCCTCATAGAGTTCAGCTGGTTTTCTTTGGCCAAACTTTGAGTAGGTCAGAGTGAAACCTGATTTTTACAAGTTCACACAGTCTGTACGCTGCTCCCTTCCTTTTAAATTAAACATCCTTTTCTTTCCCCCCGGCGAGTCCCCCCAGCAGGAAGACCCCCAAGCGTGCTCCCATTGTGGCTGCGCTGTTTGCGGACAGGCTGTTTGCTGCCGGCTCCAACAGAAGTGCTGCAACAGCAACTGCAACCGCCTGTTTGATAAACAGTGCCTGACCGTATGTTCAGCTGTTGATTCCTGAGGACGTCTTTCCCCCCCTCCCCATTTGCATACATGCACGAACAAGCCATCAATATATGTAGAGCCATGAAGAAGGGTTCATTAACAAGGGATTTAGCAGTTGTGCCGTGTCTGCCTGCAGAGCTTTGATCTTGAGAAGGGCACTCAACAGCAGAAACAACGCTGTGTCCGAACCCGTATCAAATGCCTTTATCCTGAGCACCTGGGGCTGGAGGCTCAGCAGGGCAGAAGTAGCTTTGAAATGAATTAGGAGCATTTCTCCTGAGAACCATGAACGTTTGTCTCAGTTAAGCTTGTTTTTGCTATTTCCCGGTGCTGCAAGTGATCGGTTATTGTAAAATCCCTTAATGGCTGGTATAGAGGAGAAAACCATGACAAATGCAAGTAAACTTACTGCTTTTGCTTGTTTTGACACTTGTTTCTCTAATCTTTTCAGCCCTGAATGACAAATGGCTGTATTCTTTGTGGTTAGCATGGACCACTTGCAGAGCAGTGCGGAGCAGGTCTCATGCATTCACATCTTCACAGCTCAAGCCACTTCTCAAGCCAGCTTTTCCAGCAAATTACTTTTTTCTCAGTTATTGAAGTTCATAATAGCTGGGTGTCAGAAGCCCACAAAACAGAGCAAGGCTGCATTCCCCATGTAATAATGCACCTCAGTACATTTGATAAGTTTTTGTAGGCTATTCCTTCTCTCCCCAACCGCACTACTTTAGCCCAAACCTAGCACTGTCATGCCAGCTAACTCATTTTTAACCCTCCTGCTCCCTCTTTGTCCTGTTTTCTGTTTTTTGTTTTTTGTTTTTTTTTTTCACATGACCAGCCCTGCTAGGCTGTCCTCCTGCACTGGGCTGCGATTGCTGCCTTCAGAGTGGCTATCAGTAGTGGGGTCTGCTGTGTGCTGTGACAGCTTTTAAAAGTAAAAAGCCTCTGTCTGAATTGACTTAGTGCTCTCCAAGCAGCTGCATTTGTATTTTTTCTTTCTCCACTCTCTCAGGGTTGTTTTTGTTCCTGTATGTGACACCCAGCGATGTGCTCAGCACGATGCCTTCCCATCTAGGTAGCCCAGGGTTTGGTTTATTTATAAACCTAGCGCAAGTCAGGAGAGCATCAGTGGCATTACTGGGTTTGGGGAGGTGGGAGAGGGAAACAGCAGAAAGGAGCAGCTTGCTAGCAAAGAAGCGATTGTTGGTCAGATGATATCTTCTGCTCTTTCTGGATTCAGCTCATTTGTTTTAGAGGACCAGCCCAAAAAAGGCAGAATTACTGAGACTGCTGTTGTTTGTCAGAGAGACTCTGTGCTGGGATAACAAAAGCAAAGTGAGCCCTTGCTGAAGCCCGTAGGGCGGTGTGATGTGGGAGCTCGTGGTGTGCCACTAAACTGATTTTTATTTTTACATTCAGAGGCAGAGCGCCTGCTTCAGCTCTCTTTAGGTTCAGAGATATAAAATAAAGGAAAGGCAGTATTTCTAGCTTTTGGAAACATTCTTCCTTTTTTCATGTAGCAACTAGTTTGGAACCAAAAGTCACTGTTGCTCTGCCAGTAGGGCTGTTAAGAAGAAAAGATAAAACATATGCCGGGGGAGATTTTAAAGGAGCACCAATGGGCAATGATCTTGCCGGCAGATAAAGAAAATCTCCTTCAGTTTTTCCTCAGCATCTCTTACAGAGTGCTCCCCCCCTTTATTTTTGTCTTCTGAGCTATCATCACTACAAGATAAAAAACTCTCCAGTATTGAGAGATTTAGTGTCTGCACAGAATCACAGCCTGTCCCTTTAAACTACAGATAAGCCTTGGTGGAATTTCTATTCTGGGAATAGTTAATTCTGTTTGAGGTTGGGCAAGAGAGAAGCGCTCACAGGCTTAGTAACAATATTTTTACTCCATTTGATTTTTTTCTCCTAAGGATTTGCCTCCCTCATTTGATGGAAAGTGCAATTATTGATCAATCCCCCACTAAGTAGAAGATTGGGGGGGGTGGGGGGGAAGAGAGAGAAAGAAAGAAGGGAAAAACAAACAAAAAGCCCCAAAGAGAGTATTTGTAGCTGTAGTGCTGTTATATAATAGCCATTATGTAATGCCTGTTGGTGCCAACTAAAAATATACTGGAAGATAACTTCCAATTCATTGAAGCATTTAACTAGCATGGTCCCAGGGTTTCTGGTTCTGGATTCAAACCTTCTACAGATGCTGAGAAGAGCTTACAAGGGCCCTAGACTGCACAGCAACCTGTTCTGTCCCTTATCACTCTCCTTCCCTTATCTTGTTTTCCTCTTCTACCCAGAGTTTTAGAAATGGTAAATGCCTCTTCAAGTCGCCTCTTTGCACACCCCACTGACCCCGCCATTGGTCCACTCAGCCCCTTTTCTAATGCTTTGTTCAGCTGAGGTTTAAATGTCCGTGGTAGACATTACCAGGAGGTGAGCATAAAGCGTAGCAGGGAGTAGGTTTTGCAATTGCTCATGCAGCAGCCATCAAAACCTCGACAGCTTCATAGGCAGTGTTTTATAGGGAGCTCTTCTCCTGTAGCTGAGCTGCAGCTAAAAGTATGTTGCCTTTTCCATCCTTAAGCGCCTTGGACTGCCAGCAGGACCTGACATCCATGCCCAAATGCTCAGCCCAGCTGCAACTGCAGAAATGGAGTAAATCCCCAGCGTGCCCTTACCCCGTACTGGAGAGGTGCGATGCAGACCGTGTTTTCCCCTTATTTTGTAGCAAAATGTTGATGTGGCTGTGCAGGGCCTGGAGCACCATTCCCAGAGGCAGGGCGGGCAGCCCAGGCTGAGCAGCACTGCGAGGTGGAAGTGCCTCGGCCATGGCTCGAGGGCAGTGGCAGTCCCTCTGGGGCAGGGGAGTAAGCATCGGCTGTGGTCCCCTGGACAGGGTAGGGGGACAAGGGGATGTGACAGGCTGCTGGAGGTGACCCAAGGAGGAGCTGCAGGGAGGTGACACAGGCAGCAACCGTGGGCTGCACCACTGATGGGGACCCTGGAAGGTTCATTATTGTGACAAGAGAAGCTCAATTAGTCCTGGCTGAAAAAGCCATGAGCAAAAACCTCTTTACTATCCACATACCCAGGGTTTCAGTCTGCATAGAGCTTACAACTCTGTAAATAACATTACATATCGCAAAGTTGTACGAGTGCTTTAATTAAAGCCTTACGGTAGTACCAGGAGAGGTAAACTAGACCTGTTGTCACCAGTGGTGAAACTGAGCGGTGGTTGAAGCAAGTTCAGCTGGATCACATATTCACACATAGGGATTCAGAAAGCGGGGTTTGCACTCCCATCTTTTGTTGCAATTGGTGTATGGCATTGCCATTTCTGTTCCTAATCATTGAAAACAGTCATTGTGCTGTTCTGTACCCAAGCACTAAGACCTTAATGTCACTGTCAATGGCATAAATCTATATTCAGGTTTCTTACTGTAGTAGATGCATCCTCTTGGTGAGCTATGGCATCTCTGTGGTCAAGGAGACTAATGCTTCCATTGCAGGAGTCACAGGTACTATTTCAGGTGACCAGAGATCACTTTAACTGTCTGAGGCCTCCGTGATCATTGGTTCAGTCCCCAGTGGGATCAGCTTTCAAAAGAGCAAAGGTTGAGTCTATCTTCAAGGCTTTCAGAGCATTTGCTTTGCATGAATTTACTCGAGAAGCATCTTGATTGCATTCAAGCAAGCATTGCATACATCATGTGGCACATTGTGCTCTTGAAGGTGCAGTAGAAGTTATTAGTACCCATAGTAATTATTGTTGTTGCTATTGCTTTATTACAGCAATATAATGAAGTATGAGTGCAGATAACTCCTGGTTAAGATCAATTTCCTCTGCGGGAACAGAAACGTTGACAAACTAATGAAGGGAACCAACGGTGCTTTGTGCTCGAGTTGGCTCTGTGTCAGCCGCAATGGCAAGCGCAGTTATGTTGCATCCAGTTTTAAGGAGGGGAAAATCCTGCTAAGTGAGTAGAACTAGAGTTTTAGCAAACAAGTGTTTTTGTCTGCTTGCTTTTAACTAAAGCTGCCTACTTTCTGCCACATGAGTGTGCTTCATGTCCCAGCTCCTCATCAGATGCAGAAAGTCTTTCTTCTGGAAGATGCCTTTGTAGGAAGGGCAGCGGGTTAAGGCAGTGGATCAGGACATGGAAATCGTATCACTGTGTGATCAAACAGCTTAACCTGGTTGTGTGGTGATGCTTGTCTCTGGTAGTTGCTGACTAGAGCGATGTGAATGCTTACTCAAAACCACTACAAATTAGGTGAGTGATAATTGTTTAGCACTATGGGATAAAGATTTAGGACTCTGCAGCCTCAGGCCAGTGTGACTTGCTTTCTGCGGCGTAAAATATCGTCTGCAGTGCTTATTGCTTTATTCGTGTAAAGCAGGAGAGAGCCTGTGCAAAGGGGGGTTTGCTGATGTGTGTGTTAGCAAAGCCCATTTCATTGTGCCTCTGTGTGTTAAATGCCAGGTGGCAGACAGAAAAACGCAAAAGCTGTGGAAAAAAGAGCCAATGGCTTTAACGCTGCCTCATTGGCCCAGCCGAGCGCAGTTACAGCGATATACTTACTTTGGCGCTCTTCCCTCGGTGACGTCATCAGCGTATTAACTGAAGATGTGGCCATGAATTTTTTAGTGCCAGCAAAGAGCTGAAAGTCTGAAACACTGAATAGGTAACGAGAGCTGCTGTCCTGTGTACGCTCGCCCGTGGGAGATTCACAGGGGAAGGCGTCATGGGGCAGATGCTCGGCCCATTGGCCGTTCTGGTGAAGCTGGAAACCATTGCACTGGAAGGCCCTTGGTCTGCACCCTCGGTGCGCCTTCAGTGGGGCCCATTGGGGGAGCTGGCTGTGCTGCACCGTGGTTTTGCACGCTCATGGGCAAGATGTGTTGAGAAGAGCATTCATTACGTTCTGAATAGGCACAAATAAACCAGGCAATACTGTATCAGCGATATTGTTGTGTGGGATTGTTATTTAAAACAGCGCTTCATCTGGAAGCTTTGACCAGCTTTTTGACTGGAAATCAGCTGGGTTTGTTATTGTGCCGATGTTTAAATTGTGCTTTCCTTTTAATCTTGTTAGTCTACATCTTGCATTAAAAATCCACTTAATTTTATGACCAGAAGATGCCCTGGCTGCTACTCCTGTAACAACTGCTTCACCACCAGATATGCCGTAGCCATTAAATTGACCCCTGTGGTGACCTGCATATCTTTAAGCATTTAAATGAGTTCTACAAATTAGGCTTTTAGGATTAGTCATCGTAGATTTGCAGCATCATTGGTGTGTTGCCAAGGACCCCAGTTTTGTCACCATGGCTACTACCGCAGGGTTACCAAGGAACACAAACTGCAGGAAAGTTTATTAAACAGAATATCCACGTGCCAGAACGTGAGTGGGTGAATGCTGATGATGCATCTGCCGTGGCCGGGGATGTGCCTGGTTGCTGATACCCAGCACAGCCCAGAGGTGGGCCTCCGGAGCAGAGAAGATGCTATTATCCACCCAGGGAAATTCACCATCGTACGTATTTCTTGTATTGTCGCTTGTGCCTGTTCAATAAATAGTGCATTTTGAGAAGGTGGGGAGGCAGTGGGAGTGTGTGCTTAGTCCACAAAATGCTCTGATCCTGTGGGGACTGTGCCTTCCCAGGAAAGGCTGTCGCCACTATGGCATGTGAAGCTGCAGGAATGTGATCCTGTGATGAAGCATTTGTAATGATAAAATCCTCTGGTGCTGTCTTGTGAGATCAATAGGCAGGAACTGTCAAGTTTGGGGGATTTTTTTTTTAACCTGAGCACTGGAAAACAGGATGTTGTGGTTTGTCTCCAGCAGGGAATATGCAACCAAACTTTTATCTGAGGTCTCTTCTTTAAATATATGCCTGCCTTGTGCAAGGGGAAGTTCCTGGCCCCCATATTCACCTTCTTTTCTAGACCTTCTTCAGACATGTGAGAATTAGGGCTTTAGAAACGAGACTTCTGGAAACACCATCCTTTCAAGATTTGTGCTCTTCTATAATCTCAAAACCCAGCCCCATAGCTCTCCCAGCTCCCCAATGGCTTCTCCTAGGACATCTGATACATATACACATGCGTTTGCTTGGGAACTCCTGAAGAGAACATGTGTGTTTGGTAGCCTCACCCTGGTGTGTGTTTCCCCACACTGTTGATATACATGGCTCTTTCTCTTGTAGTCATCTCCTGTTCCTCAGCTTCACCTGACAGTTTCACAGCGGCTCAGGACCAAAGTTGTTGTCCTGGCTGAACCTCTTGTCTTCTCTGGCACGTCCTGGAGTCTTCTTATCCGATCCTTCAACAAAACAGTGTCAGAAATCATCAGGGGATGTTCCCTGGCACCTGATGGGAGTAGGGTTAAAGTTATGAAGTTTTCTAGTCCTTGGAGGAAGAAGGAAATCCGGGGAATGGTTCTTAGCTCCCCATCAGCCCTGCAGGCACTTTCTCCTGCCATAGGCAATGCTGGTAAACTGTATGCTCAACACTGTGCTTAGTGCTGGGCAGGACTAGAGCCTGTTCTCAGAGGGCATTTCTCCTCCCGCGTGAATTTCCCTTTTCCATCTCACCCCATCCCTTCCCTCTCCCCAGGACCTTCTCACAGGTCTCATGGCCGAACGTCTCTGTAAGGTTGGCTGTCCCATCTGAACGTGGGATGCTCCCTGTGCTATTCCACCACCTCTGGGCAGCCAGTTTACCATCCTGACATGGAGGCCTGAGTGGGTTTTTTGTTTTTGAAAGAGATTCTTTGAATTCAAAACACAGCAAATTCCTGGCGGAGGCAGCTGACAGATCATGCTCTGCAAGGGCTCCGTGCCTAGGACTGGCTCTTCTGTGGTCCCTCCCTGACCTTCCAGCAGCAGTGCCAAAAACCTCTGTCGTGGGTTACAGATCAAAAATACGTAAATAGAATGAACCAACACACTGGGGTCAAAAAGGGGACAAATGCTCCTGATGCCAGCTCACATGTGTTGCCTGAAGACAAATTGCCTGTCCTGCAAGCCTGATACTCACTGAAAATGGGTCTGGTTGGGAGGGGAGAGCCTTGCTGTGTGTGCAGAAGCTGGCGTACTTATGTGTTATATATAGGAGCACGTATATAGATGCACACAAGCACATTATATGTTTACGTGCTAGCAGGCCACCACAGCCCAACTGCTTCCTCAGTTTGGAGGTTTCCCACTTAAACCATTCTGGTTTCCCGTGTATGTTTTGATTTTACCTCTAATTTCCCACAAATGAGCGGTCAGGGAGTTCTCCTACCACTCTCCTAAAGGTTTCCTTCCCCTGAACTAAACTGCTTTTGCAGGGGATTTTCACTTACGCAGTAAAGTGCTTGTTAGAGGTCTGTGTAGGTGACTAAATGCTATTTGCTTTCCAGCATCAGTCCTGTCCCATATTGGTATTTGTCTTGAATGTTCGGGAGAAATAGAGGAAAAACACATTTTCACTTCAGACCCATCTCAGTGTAAGTGAATTTTGTGCCTATTTCTTCCAAAGCTGGCTGCATTGATCTCATGGTTAAGGGAGTAGAAATAAGGAAGTAAAATCCTGAGCTATCGTAATCCTGTTTAGGTGAACTGGCTGCCTCCAAAGTATACAGTCTGGTGTGGAAAGCATCTCATTTTTAATTACTACTAATGCTGCTGTTTCAGTGGCACTTAGCTCTGGATTACCCAAAAGCCTGTCTGTCTCAGGAACACCAGTGTTCTCCACAGGACGGTGAGATATGCACACGTGGCAGAGAACAAGTCTCTGCTTGGCTGGTTTCATCCAAAGATGCTAGAGGCAGAGGAATAGCTCTCAAGGATCTCAGATTCCTGAAATTAATTGTGTAAATGGCTGAGTGGGAAATGGGAGAGGTATTGTGTCCCTGTTCATCCTTTCCTGCTCCAGGGAAGAGTCTTCAAGGGGAACAAGCTTCCTCGCGTGCATTGCTCCCATTGCATCGTGCTTCAGCAGATGCCGAGGAGAGGGGAGCCAGCGGTGGGAGAGCGACTATCCCTACCTCATCCCATCAGTGTGAGTCCCTCCTGGAGCCTGTCTTCCCCTTCTCCTTACCCTGTTAATCTGTCTTTTTTTTTTTTTTTTTTCCCCCTCTGGCAATTACCGTAATAATAACAGAAGCGAATGCTGAGGAAGAGGGGAAAATGCCATCACATCTCTTGGAATGTATAGCATTGGACCTGGTCCCTCGATCAGGAATTGCTGGGCGATTTTGGGTGCTGCTTTATAGTACTATGTTGTAATCTATGAGTGTGTACTCTTGAACTGTCTCGTTCTTTGTTGCTCAGGGTAATAATTACCCAGACCATTTTTACCTTCTAAATGGCTTTGCAGCTATTAATCACTCAGCAGCATTCCTGGAACAACAGGATTCGTATCCCCATTACATAAATAAGGAAAGTGAGACGAAGAAGGTAGCAACAAAACTTCATGGGAAGTGTCTGCTGCTCTGGGGTGGGTCTGTTTGGGGGGGTTGATTTGCAGCCTGATATTTCTGAGGTGCTGAGTCCCAGAGCAGTGCCAGCAGCACCAGGCTGAGAGCAGCGCTTGCGCAAAGTCAGGCTCTGCGTGTCCCAGGGTGGGGAGAGGCTTTTGAAAAATTGCCTCTAAATTAGAAAGTAGATTTAGGAGTTAGGGCTTAGGTCAGCTTTCCTCCGACTGTGAGGCTTGTTTTGCTGGAGGTCTCTGCAGGGAGACAGGAGGTGCGTTCCCAGCAAAGTCAGCATGGCGGGAGGACAGGCAGCGGTTTGCAGCCTTCCTGCATCACTTTCACAAAGCATGAGGCTAAAGTGTTACCAGCACCCTGGAATGCAGAGAAGACTCGCCACCAACCATGTAGAGGCAAGAAAAAAATCCCTGCTGTCTCCCATTTGCTTTGTTTGCAGCTAATCCTTATATCCTGGCCATTTTTATTTGTGGTTTCTCGCCTGTCCTCCTCCTGC